TTTATTTTTTTATTTTAAGTGGGGCCATGATTTTCGCCCAGACTACAAGAAGTTGCACGAACTACGTCAGAAGTTCCCCAAAATACCGATGATGGCTCTAACAGCCACCGCCACCCCCCGTGTCCAAAAAGACATTCTCAACCAGCTAAACATGAGTCGACCTCAAGTGTACGTGTTCATTTCCAGATGACATCATTTATTCATGGCCGCAGTTCAGAATATCCTGGATTAACTACATGTTTTCTGCTTTTTAGATTTACCATGAGCTTCAACAGAACAAACCTCAAGTACTCCGTGTTGCCCAAGAAACCCAAAAAAGTTGATGAGGACTGCATCAGCTGGATCAAGAAGCACTACCCACGTAAATAATTCAGCCACTCTGATCCTGGTGCTATTTTTGTAAAACTGTTGTGGCTGCAAGGTTAAAAATTCAACTGGATGTGAAGACCTGAGGGCAGCTATAAGAGTCTGCTGAGGGGGAGAAATAGTTGTCTGGCTGCAATGTCTGGATTTTTTTTTTTTTTTAAATATCTATGTAGAACCTGCTAATTTCTCAATTCATTTTTCACATTGATGGTACAGTTTCACTCAAATAATAGCAACACATCAGCATCTTTAAGTGGTTTTTGTGTTTCTGATCCTGACAGGTGACTCTGGCATTATCTACTGCCTGTCCCGTAATGACTGCGATGCCCTGGCAGACAGCTTGAAGAGAGCAGGAATACATGCTCTGTCATATCATGCTGGCCTCAGTGATGGCGACAGAGAATATGTGCAGAGCAAATGGATCAATCAGGATGGCTGCCAGGTCCGATTGCAACTTATGAGGACCCACAATAAACCCTTAAACATTTAGTAAATGTTCTACTTTTCTTTTTTCTTGTGTCCTTCAGGTGATCTGTGCCACCATAGCCTTCGGCATGGGAATAGATAAGCCTGATGTGCGCTACGTGATCCACGCCAGTCTGCCTAAGTCAATGGAGGGTTACTATCAGGAGTCAGGAAGAGCCGGCAGAGATGGAGAGATCTCACACTGCATTCTGTTTTATTCCTACACTGACGTCCACCGCATCAAAAGGATCATCAGCAGTATGTAACACAAAACTTTTGGTACTCTTTGCTATAAAATAGACACTCCAAACCCAAAGTGTTAAAATAAAAAAAAACAAGCATCTAAAGACGGCATTTTCTTTAACACAGTGGACAGAGAAGGTGACAGACATGCAAAGGCAACTCATTTCAGCAATCTACACAGCATGGTGCACTTCTGTGAAAACGTGATGGAGTGCAGAAGAATCCAGCTGCTCGCCTACTTTGGAGAGCTGAAGTTCAACAGAAACTTCTGTAAAGAACATCCGGATGTCAGCTGTGATAACTGTGCCAAACCAAATGTATGAAACATTTTCCTCTGTTAGGATTTGTTTGAAGACCAGAGACAGATATAATGATGTTTTTTGTTATTTTTTTAAATGCAGCAATACAAACAGAGGACGGTGACCGATGATGTGAAGAAGATTGTGAGGTTTGTCCAGGAGAACTGTGAGAAAGTCGGAGCAAGGTTTGGCAAGACTCCTCAGCAGAGCCGACTGACCCTGAACATGCTAGTGGACATTTTTATAGGTAAACAAATCTATGCCCTACCATTAAAGTCAGTTTTTTAAGAAAATAGGAGAAATTATATTCTGTACCTCTGATGCTGGGAAACCTTTTTTTCTCCAGGGGCTAAATCTGCCAAGATACAAACAGGAATGTTTGGGATGGGAGCTGCTTACTCCCGCCATAATGCAGACCGTCTTTTTAAGAAGCTAGTTCTTGATAATGTCCTGGTTGAGGATCTCTACATTACCAACAATGGCCAAGCTGTGGCTTACATCTCTGCAGGTCCAAAAGCCATGAACATACTTTCTGGGCAAATGGAGGTAACTAATCGCTCATCAGGTTTATACAACGGATATTCTTAGAAAGATTCATCATCATTTAAACCAATAGCATAATGCTACATTCACACCGCACACTAATGAAGCAGCAGAAGCAGCTGGTTTACACTTCAGGGATCTTCTTAGAAAGATTCACTATCATTTAAGCCAATAGCATAAGGCATCTAAAGTTTAAACAGTCCAGGAATGGAATGATTAAATGGTGTTATGTTTATATCCATGGCATATGTGTTTATTTTTTTGTATTGACACATTTTTCTTTTTAGGGCACAGGAGTTGCAATGTCTAATATATCTAAAAGGAGAAGTTCAATGGCGTGAATACAAGACAAATAAGATAACAAAGGAATGTTTCTGAAAATGAGTAACCATACGTATAGAAACCAAAGATGGGTCTCAATATAAAAGACTCCAAAAGGCCAAAGTTTTAGTAAATTATCAAACTGTTGGGGAGTGATTTTTAGGCACATCAATACATTAAAAGAAAAACTAAAAAGTTTATGTTTCCGTAACTCTGTTCAATAAATGAAACACTTTATAGATTAAATGCAGACACAGTAATACTTCTGAAACCCCAGCATTAGGAGTAGAGTTAAGGAGGAATCTGAGAGGGATTTACACGGACATGTACATTTCTCAAGAAAAAAAGCTGTCTGCCTCTGTTTCACCGTATGGGGCTCAAATAGTAATAAAATAACATCAGTTCTGCTCCCATTTCTCTGAGCAACTGCGAGATTAGACTGGTTTTGTTGAATTAGTAACCCATGCTGTGGTGATCATTAGTAAAATAGCAGTGAATAGAAGCAGGGAAAGTCTGACTTTTCCCCACATATCAGCCCATAGCTTTTGCTCATGATTCTTTAGCTGCTCTGCTATGAAAACATTGTTCTGAGGACACGATCTGTAATGCCGCTCAGTCATTGTCTTCAGTTGGGTAGTTGACTGAATGGAACACATGTAAGTGTTAGGAAACTGAGAAAATACTGACTTACATCCAGGTTTTAGCTGCCTTTGCCGGGACATCCAGTCTGAGATGCTGCAGCATGGGATCAACCTACTTCTGGCAATTAGCCTTCTCTTAGAAAGACTGAACAAAGTCCAAGAAGTCCTGCAGCCAATCTGTACCAGTCGCACGATCCATACATTCAACTCATTTTTTGTGTGAGCAACAAGAAATCCTTCCAAAATAGAAATATGCTAACTGCACTGGTGCTAGGAAGCATCCTCCTT